ATATTTCTTCTTATGGAATGATTAATTTTTCATGGGTAATGCCCTTCATTTTTGTAGTGTGTTCTGCTTGGCTATAATTGTTGCAATGGTACCTTTTGGGATGGGGTCGTGTAGGTATATAGGTTTTTCTTTTGAGGTTCTTATGAATTGGCATGACAAAAAGCTGCTCTCACCTGATTAGGGAAATTGGTTAAACCATCAATTCTTGTTTGTAGCAACAACCTTTTGGTTGCTTGATTTAATTTAGTTGCCTGTTCTATTCAAATGGAATAAAAATGTTTCACATGGAACTTCAATTTGCTTGTTTCCTTTTTAAAGTAAATGCCATGTGTCAAATTTCACAAAAGTCATCCAATGATAAATATGTTCAAATATAAGTGAAAAAAGGTGAAGTAATCCCATTTTGGTGCATTTAATATGTTGGTACTTCTTTTTACATTCTTTTGCTCAATGATAAAGGAATAAAAAGAGTTGTAACTGCTGATTATTTAATGCCACCCTTCAAATTTAAAATTAAATGAATATATATTATAATTATAATAATAATGTATTGTATAGTAAGTTGTTATGCATATGATAAAGTGAGAGGTTTGAACATACTTTGAACAGTTTGGTGGGTCGTTATAATTAATAGCATTTTCCCTTTCGGTGATTAAATGCTTTCACTGTAGTTGCTTTATTTATCCAGTCACAAATGACTCAAAAACTCATATGGGAATAAATTCAACGATATTATTTCCTTCTGACAGCTAAATGTGACTGTCAACCCTTGAAATTTATCCACTACATGTTTGTACTTCGTAACCCTACCTTCAATTATGCAACCGGAAAATGAACATGGGTCAGAATTATTTACTATAAACCCCCTTGTTCAATTAATGTTCGCCATAACCCTGTTACTGACCTCGGGCTAGACAACATTGTGGGCGTTAAAAAGGGCTCATATATATTTCTATCTACTACAGTCAGAAGGTTTTAACCCATATGGTCAGTTAAAAATATTGGAAAAATATTACCTACACATATAATTGGTTTGGAAAAGAACATAAAAATAAAATCTGTTTGGTCGTTGTTCGTGACCCATACTGTTGGCGGGTTAGCTGGCTCTAGCGGGGGCATTGTAGTGCGTATCGCATGGTGGATGTCTGAAGCAATTGATCATGGAGGGAGGGGGACAAAGGCCACCCACATTTGACGTGGGCCACATTGGACTTTTATTGATGATATATGGGTTTGCAGTTCTAATGATGATGTTAGGGAAGATGGGCTCATTGTCACGTTTGGTTTGTTGTTTCTTCTTCCAACCACTCTCTCATTTGGTTACATCTCCACAAGGGGGTGGGGTCCTAGAGCAGCTCATGTTCTGGTTAATGGGTCTCTTTCTCTGTCCCTTGGCACCAACAACGCTCAAAAAATATGGCCCTTGGTTTACAGTAGAAAGGGAAAATGTTTCTATATCTGGCATTTGGAAAAATGGGGTTTCTTGGTCTTATTCTGTTGCTTGTTTTCTTGTAGTTCTATGTGAAGTTTTGTGGATGCATGGTCCAGGGTGTGGATTAATGTTCCAACTCAATGGGGTTATTAGAGTTGCAAAACTCGATCCTTCTCTCTCTCTCTTTTTAATATATTAATCTTTCATGCTGCTACAAGGATACACATTAGACTTTTTCTAACGTGCTTCATTTCAAAAATAATAAGGATTTAAAGTCTCAACTTTCAGTTGGCATGGATGCGTTGTTTGAGGGCAGAGGTGTTTTAAAACTGTTATGGATGAGCGAGCCCAGCAGATGTGAGTTTAAATGATTGTTAAAAGCGAAAGCTTGAATTGAATTATGATTCCAACACTTGCAGCAAATATCAAATATGACAACTTGATGCTAAACTGTCATGCCCTGTGAAAAATAAATGATCATTAACGTTTGGAGTTGTTGCCAGAAGTGTTGGAACAATTACTGGCAGGATCATATAAACTGCTGGGGGGGATTCATCTACCAGGAAATTCATGTCTTAACAGATTGACTCATGTATAGTAGAAGAATGAAATCTTTCTCTTTAAACTTTATTTCACTGACTGTACCCATGAAAGAAAAGGGGGAATATATATTTTGTTTTAGTTGCAGGTCACACGTGTTCATCATCTTCTTCATTTTTACAGTAAATTTTGATGATTGGTGACCTTAACTAGCCAACCATCCCAATTGAAAACAACACATTAATTAACAACAAAACTTTGAAAAAGTATGTTGCTCAGCATTTGAAGTGCAAGTGTTCAGTTCTCCAGCCTGTTTTGTGACTTTATGATCTTTTTGATTGTTGCAAACAGGGAAGTTGGTTAGGTCATGATGCCGCCTTAATTAGCTTCTCAAAGCTGAACTTAATTAGCTTGGACACAAGCTATCTTAATTAGCTCAACTTTATTTGAGATAACTTCCTAGCTTTATATATATTACTCAGCTCAGTAATCAGATAGTTAAATTAGTTAAGCAGGACTTCAAGGATTCACATTAATGTTCACACTGTTTACATTGCTGAAGAGAGATTTCCAGCATCGTAGCCCGTGGACCTTAAGCTAACTCCTCTCCCTTCTTTAAGCCGAGCAACTTAGAGAACAGTAAGAGTAGAACATGATGGTAATTCTGAGACTTGGTGTAATCTGCAATATCTTGCGTATTGGTACGTGTTCAAGCTGCCGTGAAGGCCCCAACCCACCCCCAAAAAAGGAGTATATCGTCACTGTTTAGCCAAACCTACTATTTTCTAGCTCACCTTGGCCATTTTAGGGTTAGCAGCAGGATAACAGGATAAGCTCCTCAGCCTCAGTGGCAGCCCTTAATACTGTGCATCATTGAAGACTTCTAGGCCACTGAGCTGGCTTTATATGTTTTGTCTGCAACAGAAAACTGACCAGATTTATGTTTTATCATGCTTTGGAACTTGCTTCCTTTCTGATTTTTGCTGTATACTGTATAATGCTGCTCACCGGCTATCACTATGCCTGAAGCATAAATAACGACCATTTTCATTTCTGAGCTAACAGGCCTGTAGCTTTCCAAGTTATGGCATAATTTGATTAGACTTAAGTGCTGCATGAAAAATAGTGTGTAGAGGGTCAAATATCACAAAAAAAAAATGCTATACAAAATTTATTCGGAATGTTTTTCTATTAAAGTTTTAATTATTTTAGAGTATATATATATAATATATTAGCCACGAAATTTTAGGATAGACTCAATGGGTTCTAGAATTACACTTGACTCAGTTCTCCGCCCAAAATGGGGTGCCTCTGAGTGGAAAGTTTCTCCCTTTCAGTTTCCTCCGAGCTGCCACTGCTGGGGGCGGGTGTTTGAGGAACAAGTATTGTTTTTCTTGGTCAGCTGCAAACTACACGCGCTGTAAACTCGTGGCGTGGGAGAGGTTATGATTTTTCTGCATTTTGTTGTCAAAGAAAGTGGCAGAAAACTCAAGAAAAGCTTTTCGGTTTTAACTGTTGGTCAAGTCTCTAGACTTAACTGACTTCACTGCTTAAAAGATAACAGAAAAGGGCGGCAAAATCTCCCCGCAGGCTTCCCCCTCACCCGACCAACAGGAATTAGATACTCTAATCTCAGCCCCACGCGCCTCCAATTATGGAAACCATCCCACAATCAAACTTGAGTCGCACATGGTTACCGCCCCCATCCCTAATTTGGCCCTTTAATGAATGGAAAATATATTTTGTTGATAGGTAAAAAAAAAAAAAAGCCATATAAATGAATACATCTTCCACTCAAAAAATTAAATTCGAATTTTATTTAACCAAAAAAAATCTTTTCCCTTTGGACCAATGTGATCTCTTTTTTAATACTAATGTAGAATTAAAATTAATTTTAATTTTACATCGTTTCATATAATTTATATTTGATTAATCTAAACAATGCATGTCAAATTTTAAATTAACTAAAATATCTAATTATTTATTTAATATAAATTTTTTACTGTTAAATATATGTTAAAAAATAATATTCTCAATTAATGTGATAAAAATATCAAATTGACTTAAAACTTTACTTACATAATAAATACGAGTAAATTATTAAATTCAATTATTGTTTTGTTGAAATATTAATAGTACATGGAAATTATAAAAAAATATAAGATTAATTAATTTTATAGCTCAAACAATTGTGATTATAATTCACAATATATTAAATAAATATATTTATTGTCAGTAATTGTCTGCAAAACCATTTACTAACACAAAATTTTTAAAACCTTTACTGGCAATAAGTGTAGCATGTAACCACTCGCGTCAAGAGAGAGTGAGCAAAGAGCAGAAAGCAAATACATCCTCAAAAGGGAGGTGAAACAATTCGAGGTTAACCAAAACAAAGGTACACTCAAACTCTAGTTGACTAAGGACTTGGAATCCCCATCAACCACGGTTAACTTGTCTTGTTATTGGTTAACGACTGCCTTGCTTTTAGACTTCAATTTACAGCAAAGAAAAAGAAATATTAATTACAATTATTTTATTCTTTTTAATGCAATTTATTAAAATATATAAACATATATCACGGTATGGAAAAGGATACCAACACTTTCATGACACAAATAATATAACCTATTTGTTTATTCAGAGAGGGAATTAATATATCAATAAATTAATGAGAATTATTAAAAAAATGAGTCTCATAATAATAAAGAAAATGAAATATGGATACCTCCTTAAAGATCTTTGTTGTTTTGCTGGCTTCTTAAGATACATATACACTTCCTTCAGATCCGAAGAAAATGGTAATAACATAATTAATAACAATAATAATAAAGGAAATTGCACGTCTACTTCTTAATTTCTAAAGGTAGAAAACGAAGTAGTTCAATGGGCACTATAATTACCGGGGAGTGAATCGCAGACAAGTTGATATTTTTGTTTTTTTTGGGTTTTTATTGTTTTTTTTTAAAATAATTTTGGGTGTTAAAAGGGTGTTCTGTTCTTTCAGTGTGTGCTTTTTGGACTCTTGCATGATCCAAAAAGGTGCTCTCTTTATATTCTTCTCTTCTTTTCTCTCTCTGTCTTCTTCTCCTTCTTCTTCTTTGTGTGCAAATGGCTTTTTTATCTGCTTCTCTGTCGGCCAACTAGAGTAATTCTTGATTGAATCTTTGAAAGAAAGACACCCAAAGAAAGATTCATCAGTGTCTTCTTTTTTTTTTTTCGTTTTGTCTTTTCTTTTTTAATCCTAGTTATCCTTTTTGGGGTCTTTATAGGAGGAGAATTTGGAGGAGTTTTTGTTTACAGAGACTTTGTGTGTAGTTAGTTACTGAGAGCTTGAGGTTTTTTCTTTTATGGGCTCAAAGAGAGTGTAAGAAAAGCAGAGACTTTTTCTGTCTGTGTTTCTGTGTGTGGGTTTTCCTTGTTTTTGGTGGATCTTAATTTTGGAAGTAGTAGAAGTTTTGATAGTGAACTCAAAACTTGGTGAATTGAACAGTGGTTTTCTTTCTTGTGGAGATAAAGTGATTTGGTCTGATCTTTTTACAAGAAACAAGCAAAAAGGAAGCTTTTTTTTTTTGCTTTAATATTTTGTTCAATTATAGTGTATCCTAGAGGCAGATTTTGGTGTTCAAAGCTTTTAAAGAGAGGCAAAAAAAAAAAAAAGAACCTGTTTAAATTGGAGGAAGATATAGTTTTGGGGGGCTTTGAATATTATTTAGTGATGAAGATTTAGCTGTATTGACGGAAAAAATGGAGGTTTTTGGAATCTGAAGTTGGCTCTGTAATGTTGAGGTTCTGTGGAATTACAAAATTTTGTTTTGAATTCTCTTTCTGGTGAGGATCAAAAGAAGATCCTCACTGGATATTTTGTTGGACGTGGCAAAAATTCTTAATCACAGTGTCCCTTGATCATACATGCTTTACAAGGTAACAATTTCAATTTTATCACTGTATTTATGATTCCTTTTCTTTTCTCTTTTTTGTTGAATTTCATGTATAATTCTGGGTTTTTGTCTTTTTTTACAGCATTTACTTAGAGAGAAGAGAAAACGAAACTTTTACTGTTACAATCATTGTTTTGATTGAGATGATTACGTTTATGGACTCAAAAGAGAAACTGAAGGAGATGGAGAAGTGCTTGGATTCTCAGCTATGGCATGCCTGTGCTGGAGGAATGGTTCAGATGCCTTCAGTTAACGCCAAAGTCTTTTACTTTCCTCAAGGCCATGCTGAGCACGCTTGTGGCCCTGTTGATTTCAGGAACTGCCCTCGAATACCGGCTTATGTACTTTGCAGAGTCGCTTCTGTTAAGTTCATGGCTGATCCTGAGACTGATGAGGTTTTCGCGAAAATTAGGCTAATCCCGGTTGGTACTAATGAGCCTGATTTTGAAGACGATGGAATTGGAAGCATACATGGGAATGAAACACAGGAAAAGCCGGCATCTTTTGCGAAGACATTGACTCAGTCAGATGCAAACAATGGTGGGGGTTTTTCTGTTCCAAGGTATTGTGCTGAGACGATATTTCCAAGATTGGATTACTCTGCCGATCCCCCTGTTCAGACTATTCTTGCAAAGGATGTCCACGGGGAGACCTGGAAATTTAGGCATATATATAGAGGGACGCCAAGGAGACATCTTTTGACTACGGGATGGAGCACTTTTGTGAACCATAAGAAGC